GCATCATCCTCGTAAGATGTCAACTCTCTAGCTTATCAGATAACCAAATTATGAACTTGTGCCAAAAAAATTTGACATTCCCGTTCGCGATTACCACGCATATCCGGTGGATAGATTTTAGTGCATTTACACCTAATTGGATGGGGAACGACGGGTTTTAAATCAGATCAGGAGTTGCAAGGCATTTTTAAACGTTTTAGTTTCGATAATCTGTGATTTCAGCTTATTTCATAAATTCACTTGATTTTTATATTTTTCTTACTTGATTTCTGCCTAATTTTTTTAAAATACGGTGGATAAGGGAGTCTCGCTGATGGGTCAATTTCTGTTCCCACGAGTTGCCCCCACCTGCTTTTCTTCGTTTTGAGTAGATTTTTCCACAGAAAAATAGCGCTGCCATCATATGCAGACTTGTTTTTTTTTTTTTTTCATCGGTTGTTTCACTAGCTTTAGTTGTCACAGTCAGATTCTTAAAAACAGAAGCTTTTCATGTAGGACTGCTAAAAATTCAATAATTTCTCTTGTAGGTGAGTTTTTAAAAATTTTTACATCAGTCTCGGCAGATTTCATTTTGCATATGTCATGCCTGTTCCTTGAAGGCTTTAAGTGATTCTGACACATTGGTTTTACGTTGCTCTTGCGGTCTGCCAATCGGGATGAGCAACCGATCCCGGCTGACGTAATTATTTAGAAAAGTCATCGAGCAAAAAAAGCTTTTCTTTATTCTTTTTTCTGTGCTGTAGGAAAAATTTCGGAAGCTGTTAGCTACTTCAGGAGGAGAAATTACGTAGAAAATTGAAAGCCAAACTGGAAACAGCGAAACTTCTCCAAGCTGCTATGGAAGAAATGGCTCTGTACAGAAAGAAAAATGCGAAAGATGATGACAAAACGGCAAGCGTTGCCGTGGAGTTCGCTGAATTTATCAAAAAGGTTTGCTATCCTTTTGCTGAAAACTAAACTACCTACATATTTGTTCCGTAAGTACTGACAAATATTCGCAGGATTTGCGTTACAAACGTATCTCGCTGTACTGTACTATAATAATTGTTAATTGCATATCTGTACCATTCGACGTTTGTTCCACTAACTGCAAAAATCGCTTCTGATTTGACAGTAGAAGTACTGTTCTGGACATTTTTGCTTATGGCAAAAACAAAACATTTACTTAGGTTGCTGGAAATTTTGACCAAGTTAACTTTCTTTTATACTATTTCCCACCAGTAGTCGTTATACTGTTCCCTTCTGCTACTAAAACTTGACATCTAACGTATATTTATCAATCAATTAGGTCAATAAGAGGGGGAGGGGGTGCTTGGTCTGTAATTGCCACACTTTTTTCTGACGATGAAGAAAGAAACAGAAGATTGGGATCACCAGCGATCTGACTGTATTTGCTGTAGGTTGGCCGATGCTGCCATTCAAGTGCTATTAGTTCCTGCTGTGATTGCGTAGAGGTAAGATGCACTGAATTGAAATGAAATATAGCCGTAGACAGAAGAATTGCTCCTTGTTAAGTGATATGTAAGCCCCAAAATGCACCCAGCCAACTCTTTCAGGTCCGATCAGAGGGCAGTTACGTGACCAATAAAGATTTGCTGAAATATATCAAGCTGTTTGAAGATGAATTGACGCTGGATAATCTGCCGGCCAATGCACTTCGAGCGCTGTGCCACTTGCTGAATATTCAGCCATTTGGATCACTGGAAATTATTCGTTTCCAGTTATCATTAAAATTGAGGGCTCTAAAAGCAGACGATCAGGTGAAGCAGTGCTAATTCTGTCGCTTTTTAATGATTCTTTTTTTTAAGAATCAGAGGTAGAGGATTAGCTTGTCGCCATGGCGTGCAAGCTTAGGAGCGTCTCGGACTACTGGAAATTGGTGGTTGCTTGTGCGTGACTGCGTTTCATTTCCAGAAGCACTGTATGAAATGCAGTGTCGCCAACTAAGATTATAGAGATATTGAATAGTTAGGATAGAAGTAGGGTTTTTCTGGATCTTCCTAGCTCAATTAAAAGAGGGAGAATGTTAATTCCAAAATGGGAGAAAATACAAAATTCTGTTCGTACTAAGACTTTTTGGAAGTTTGTTTTGATTTTAAAGATAAGTAATGCAAATTATTTAAAAATAAAATGGTTCATGTAAAATGATCCATCGGCGAATGGTTTTCCTCCTTTCAGGAGATCGCTTTCGAAGGTGGAGTGGATGTCCTAACTCTTCCTGAACTGCAACAAGCATGCCGAGCCCGCGGAATGCGCTCACTGGGCGTGAGTGAGGAACGCCTCAAGGAGCAAGTCAGTCTTTACAATTATTCACATCAATATGAATTGGGGAAGAAACCTCTCGTGGTTTTATTTCTTTCGGTTATTTTTGTGCGTTTTTTGCAGCAATGCAATGCGAAAAACGCATATTGACGAGAGGTTGTCTGTGTG